CTATAAGGGGGGGGCCACGTGAAAAAATTGGTAAGCTGAGGGGGGGTCATGCGATGTTTAAATGGTGCTTCCCAAATCCCACCAGCCCCCCCTCCCTCATAAAAAATGAACGGTCCCTTAGTTTCTACTAAAATAGGTTGAGTCAGATACGTCATATATTTTTTAACCTTGTTGGGGGTTGGGGGTGTCCTTTTCAAAGCTAAAAAGAGGCGAGCTTGAATGTTGGCATGGGTTTTACGCCGAGCCGATCAGCCAACTTGTCCTAAAAGATAAAAGAAAGTAGCATTATCCTTGAGGTTAAGTAACAACCTACAACCGAATTCTAAAGTGTTGGGGAGGTAACCGCTCGTTTAACCCCGAAGTCGATTTTAACCGTTTAGCCTCTGACCAGAAGTCGAAAACACTGTCTGTTTCTCGTTCTTTAAGCGCGAATATGGAGGCTTATCGACATCTGGTTGGGACTAACTGTCTAAGGGCTAATCGACTTGGGGGCTGTACTGTAGGGGAGGTTACCAATTTCGTTCTTCCCCACCCCCACCCCCCACTTCTCTTCTTAATGTTCATTGTTCACTCAAGATGGTATAGTAAAGACCAAACATTGGCAGGGGAGGGATAGAGGGAGGGGGAGGGAGGAAGGCGCCTGAAATACGTCAGTTTGTATCATAGCTTACCATAGCTTCCACCAAGTTAACATGATAAAAAATACCACCATCTTCCTCCACTTTACGCATGTGCGCCCTCTCCGGGTCTCCGGCCACAAGTACTGCAGTCTCACCCTCCGCCTGACAAATAACAACAAGCCAGTTCATCTTTAAAGTTTTCCTTTGAACTCAAATGAAGACAAATATCATCAATTTTACTTTGACTAAGATGTTCACAAGTATACAAATACCGACCAAAATTATTCAGTGCCATGTGACATCTAGGCATACTAGAGGTAACTTGCTGAGACTAAGATCGTGTGAGAAGGGTCAATGGAGGTTAAGAGAGAAACCAGAGAGGGGGCAGAGATGTTGCTAAGAGGATACAGAGAAAGAGAGAGAGGACAGACGATAGAGACACGAAGCAAACAGGTGGACAGACACAGACACACAAACAGATGAACAGACAGGCAGGTAGACACCCAGATAAACAGATAGAAATAAGACAGGTGGGCAGACAAAAAAGACAGGCAGACAGACAGACAAACAGACAAAGAGGCAGAAATAGGTCAAACAGGCAGGTAGACAGACAAACAAACAAACAGGCCAACAGATGGACAGAAAGGCAGACAGACGGACAGACAGACAGACAATGAGACAGACAGACAGACAGACAGACAGGTAGGCAGCCAAGCAGAACGACAGGCAGGAAAGCACACAAGCAGACAGGCACGCAGGCAGGTACAGGTACATGCAGAAGGAGACACATGGGACAGAAACTACAGAGGGAGAAAGTGGTAAGATGATACACGGAAGGTCCTGTAAGAAATCAATCATACATGTATCATGTACAATACTATATGATTTTGCAATAATCTTACATTTATCTCACAATTTCCAAAACAAACAGATAGTCAGAATTTGCTTTTTACCGGTTGCAGATTTCTGCAGTGGTCCATCAATGACTGCATACGGTCTTCAAATCCTGGGGCAAACACTGCAGGATTCACAGCGACAAAACACTGACCCTAAATTAAGAAATAAAAAATAGTGCTATTGATACAAAACCAAACTAAGATTAATTTAGTCCAAAAGTAAAGAAACCAAACGTTCAATTACAAATAAATTATTTATGCTTGAAGTTCTACATGAAGTTGGCAAAAGCTCTCGGGATTGACACATGTCAAGTTTTAATCCTGGTTTTCACCAGGAACAACTTATACTGGGACAGTAAATTGACCTTGATGAAATGTTGAAGTAGGATAACAATATTAGGGGAAAGGCGGAGTGTTCTCAAGATTCTGTGATACAACAATTTGATGAAGACAAAATTTACATGAAGTTCGACTAGCTGACAATGATTTCACTGAACAAAAACTTGGAAAAACTGTTAACTTCTTTCCATTCTCTCCAGAGTCTAACTTTATTTTCAATACTTCTTCCAAGTCTGAAAAGCCAGCAGATTTTTTTATACTATTTCAAGCATTTCAAACCCTGTATGAACCTTAACATGTGGTATAAATAATCAAAATGAGAAAGGCAACAGGAAATGAACTGACAAAAAATGACTTTAAGAGTCTTGTGAGTGGAATATTGTTAGAAAGCCAATGTTACTGAACATTTTGCTCTGCGTTCTACTTTACATCTTAATCATTGCCTACATCTAACACTGTGGCCTCATGGTTAGCACGCTTGACTCCAGATCAAGCGGTCCAGGTTCGAGCTCTGACCAGGGGCATTGTGTTGTGTTCTTGGGCAAGACATTTATTCTCACAGTGCCTCTCTCCACCCAGTTATACAAATGGGTACTGGCAAATTTAATGCTGGGGGTAAANGGGGGGGGGGTAAGCTCCAGCCTGGTGGGGCACTTGGCTAGAATGTAGACTTAACCTTGTTTACATCTAACTGTCATAGCAGAGAGATTTTATGGCATCTTTATCATTTTCGATCATGAAACATTCCAGTTATGGGTGCAGCTGCCTGTTGTTGACAGAATTCAACCACAAGGTAACAAGTTTGCTACAGGTGTGGAGAACAAGGCTACAGCTGACTCAAAACTTAATGACAACTATGAACAATTAAAGGCCATGCTCACCAAATTAGCCTCTCTGTCACCAGCCATCCACTTTCTGATATCTGGACCGACAGCTGCACCTGCCAGAATACCGCAAAACACTTCCACCATCATTGCTAAGCCGTAACCTTTGTAACCACCTGAAAAAGTTCACAACACTGCAACATCAGCAACTAATAAAGGCAAAGGTAAAGTCTGCATACAAGCCAAGTGGCTCATCAGGCTGGAGCTTATCCCAGTTTCCGTAGCATGAAGTATCTAGGAGTATTTCTACTCCCCCCTGGATGGGATGCTAGTCCATCGCAGGTTACTCTCCAGCATTATATTTGCCAGTACCCATTCATACACCTGGGTGGAGAGAGGTACTGTGAGAGTAAAGTGTCTTGCCCAAGAACACAAAACAATGTCCCCAGCCAGGGCTTGAACTTGGACCACTCAATTCGGAGATGAGTGGACTAACCATGAGATCACCAAGCCTCCACATCTACTAAACTACATAAAACAGACTGTTGATTAGTTCTGTAACATCATACAATTTTCATGGGGAGCTAGTTCAGTAGTCAACATTATTTAAGTAGGGTGATCCTTTCAGCAATTAGCTGGTTTCAGCAGGGGCCTGTGTAACAAATGACTACTACAGACCATAAAAAATAAATATAAAAAATAAATATAAAAAATAGAACAATGCAAAAAAGTCCAATAGATGTGTGCAATAAGTATCATTTAAAATAGGAAATCTTAAATAATTTATCAATGAATTAGAACTGACAACAAAAGAATTGGTCTTATCTTGCAAAATTTTATCCAAGAAGGTTCTTAAATTAAAAAGCAATGCTACTTCTTATTTGTTAATCTGAAAAAGACTGCACCCAAATATCTGACTAAGACCATGTCATGACCCTTAAAACGTTACCTACACTGTAAGATTAAATCTGTTAGCTGCAGCATATCTTTAACTTACTAGTGATCTCTGTTCCACCCAAAGGTAGCTGACCTCCACCTGACAACACCTTTTCTGGATGGACAGTTTCCTTCAACAGAAAATAAATATCATCTTTAAGAGGTAGCTGGTGGTGCGAGTGTGCACCCTGCAGGGCTTGTAAAACAGTTTTAGTTTTATAAAGTATCTATGAGGGGCATTTAAGGCCTTAAGCGTCCCATGGCGATGATGTCGATGATTATGATGACAATGATGATGATGATGACGATGACGATGACAATGACGATGATGACAATGACGATGATGACAATGACGATAATGAGGGGTACTTTCATGCAGTACTGAGGACTTATTCCTCAGTAAAGATGAAGAGGACAAGTGGCTGAATCAACTGGTCTAGGAACTGTTTGTTATGTGTTAACAAAAGAAAATGAAGGGAAAGAGAGTTAATCTCTCATACAGGCCTTATTCCAAAGGTAATCCCTATCGAGAAGGTCAGAAATAGCCAATCCTGTGACATGGATCCTGCTCATGAGGGCTGCGTAAGCAGCCTTAGCAGCTTTACACATACATGTATAAAATCCTTGAGGAAAAACATCCTTGGCTAGCAACGTGCATAGTAACATTTTCTGTGGAAGAACTGGGCACCATATCTAAAAATAACTTGAGAGGGGTTACCATAGGAATAAAGCTTATCTGGGGGATTAACACTGTTACCCTTCACACTCTCTTGATTGTATAAGATGGTTCAAACTTTCAAGTTTGTGGATGAAATCCCAGTGTGTCATGATTCAAATGAAAGCTGTTGAGCAGTACTTTTATCACTAATCATGGTTTTATTATTATAATATTTGTTAATAATATCCATTACTTACTTACATTACAAAACAAGAGAACGCATTACAATAAATATGTTTATTATGTCTGTGAATGAAACCCTAGAGTGTGACCACTTGAACAGCACTCTCTTTGATGCCATTTATTATAATGCTGCACAAGGTGGTTCTAACTTTTAAGTTCTTGGATGAAACCCTAGTGTGTGACCACTCAAATGAAAGCTATTAAGCAGTTATTAAGAACAATCATCTTTTGAAACAAGATGTATGGTACTACACATTTCTTACCAATCCTTTTGAATCCACTCCCCACCCATGAGGCATTTCCACACCCTTCCTTCTTGCCATTTCAATCTAAAGAAAACAACAGTCTCATTTTAAAAAAAGCCCTGAAAGCCATTTCTGTGACTCCTTGGTGAACAGAAAAGTTTTCAATCGATTATTTCCCAAGACATATAACCTATTAACATTTCGTTCTATTGTCTACACTGTCTAAAAGCATACAGGTAAACAGGTCTGTTTATGTCTTAGTAATTAATAATATCTGCCTCCTTTACTTCAGTGGACATTGGTTGATTAAACTCATAACAGACACTCATTGGGCTACAGTTACGGTCATCTCTGATTATACCAACACAGGCTCAAACCCAGGGGTGTAACATCAATGTATTGTAATCTTGTGCAAGGCACTTTACTCTCACAGTGCCTCTCTCCACCAGGTGTATAAATGGGTACCAAAAAAATAAATGCTAGGAGGTAGCCCTGCAATGGACTAACATCCCATCCAACTGAGAAGTAAAATACTCCTAGTTGCTTCATGCTACTGACATTGGAGATAAGTACCAGCCTGATGGGCCTCTTAGCCTGTATGAATGCAGACTTAACCTAGCTTGAGGCACCTCTGCCCCAGTTCAGATGCTACCTTCACTTTGATTATACCAGGCACCCATTTGATTGTAAAAGACTTCTAAATGATTACAAAAGGCACCCATCTGTTCATAACTGACACACAGTTTTGATTAGTAATAACGACACCAACTTGGCTAGAAAAGTAAGGATTTATTTGATCACTCACCTTGCCAAGAGCAACAGCACTTGTTGCCATGTCAAGAACAAAGCTGTCGCCATCTTTGCCAGGGGCGGCCACTGATAACGGGTTGGTTCCGACAGTTACCTGATAGACAAACATACAGTTTGGTTACAGGATGCTAAAACTTGAGAACTGTGTATGTTTTACATCGATCTAAACTATTGACCCATTCCATACAAAGATCAATGTTTGTGACTGTTAACAGCCTTAAAAATGCACTGACTCTTAATGTTAAATTTCCCTGTTGTGATCAGGAAATGTATGCTCTGCATTCAGAATGTAAGTAAGAATGTTGGTTCATGTGAAACATGTGAACTGTTGAATCTTGCAAATGACAGTTTGTATGAAACGTACAGTTCATCAATCATAAATGCTGGTCCATCGCAGTGTGACTGGATTATTGCACATAGATGAGGACTTCCTGCAATGATTTATCTGATGATCCTAGTAAACTCTTTATCAAGCCCACCTCAAGGATTTTCCCAGAAGGATTCTTGCAAACTAAGGCTTAATGTTTTTATTTGGTCAAACTGCACATTATGCAATATTCCCTTTACCGATGTCATAGAGGTCATGTAATATACCAAACACTGTGATCACATTTCCAATTGAGAATAGAGTTGAAAATACAATATGCTGTGGGAAATATTTGACCTAATCTGAGGTGTTTGGAAATGCGACATTGTACATCATTAAGATTATTTTATATATTATTTGATTGTTTTATTAATTGCTCTTCTTAGATATCAAAACTGACACTAAGGGATAAAAAGAGGAATAAAATTGTAAAAGGCAATGCTAATAAGAAATGATATTTTAACACTGTCTTATGGCTATAATTTCTTAAATCACATGTAACTTCATGAAAAAAATTGAATAAAGTTTCAAGCATACAGTGTTTACCTTACGTGCTCTTGTTGGGACAACAAGAGGTGATGTATTGGTGAAGCTCATTCCCTGAGTTGGAAAAAGCAAAGTACTACAAGTTGAATATCTCAGAAAATTTATTACTGCTATTACTAACCTTGTAAACGGTTATGTTATATTAGAATAGTTAGGCTACATGTTTGGAACAATTTACCAAAAGGCATTGATTGTGGAAGCTGATAGCCTTTAGGTATTAAAATCCAAGCTTAAATTGTACTTGGATGTTTAATGAAGGATCTTAATTCTTTTACATTTATTTTATTTTTAAGGAGTTTTTATATAGGGTTAGCCTCTTAGCTTCCCTTTCAAGATACCTTTTGTAATTCTTAAGTTTCACAGGCATTTCATTAATGTTTTCAGCACGAGGGCAACTGGTTTTCACAGGCAGGCAAAACTATTTGAACTGAACTTTTTCTATTACTATAAGAAAAAAACTTCCCGCCAGATGGTCAAATCAGAAGGGCAAAATTGTCCTCACAAGCAGTCAATTTACCCAGTGGCTGGCCCTTAATGAAACCCCTGAAATGTTTTATTGATCCATAAGATATCCATGTCTAGTGCCTTTTTGCATCTTTAATAAAGTATGTATGTATGATTGTAAAATTAACTAAAGATTCTAGTGGATTGAGGTACATACATGTATAATACAGTCAGTCTGCGATCAACTGTGAGTTTGATAGGTACAACATAAAAAACATTATTCACTCACAATAAGCCCCTTTTCCATAGCTTTTATTGTATACCAACCAGCAATGCCATAATGGTTTGAGCCTACAGTCAACAAAACAAATACTTTTAATTATAACTGTTTCTACCCAGTTTCTTGACTAAGGCTGACCAGATTCAAACATTTTTTTTTTCATACAAGCACCCCTTTCACAAAAGTCCCAGTAATTACCAGCCCTGGAGGGCTGCTTTTTTGTTTGCTGTGTTTACATTCAAGATCTGACAAGTAATTAAATAGTTTTGTTTGAAATTCAAACAATAAAAATATCAGGAAACAAAACAAAATGGACTAACAGTGAGAGTTTCTATGTTTATTCCTATTGCAGACTCTACGTTATTTTCTCACTATCCCACGCTTGCAATAAGCTGAGCATCATCTCATTAAAACCAAGCTTCATATTACCATCATTTCACTTCAATCAAAAACGTTTAGTAATTAGACCAAAAATTGTGCATTATGCAATGATATCTCTTATTCTATTCCATGTCCCATGTAAGACTTTTGCAAAGGTCAAATAATCGCAAATGGTTTTTACCTCCACAGACAACCCAACCAATACCAGTCTCTTGAGCTTTCTTTATGGCTAAGTCATTGCAAAAGTTTCCAACAACCTGTTTGGCAAAGTTAACAATAAAAGAACAATTAGTAATATAAAGATAGTTCAATCCAGATCATGTGTCCTAAAGGCATCCCCAGTTGAGTGTCAACCGATACCCACAATCAATACCCTCAATTAACCCTCAATCAATTCTTGATTGACACTCCATTGACACTCGGTCGACACTCGGTCGACACTCAGTCGACACTTGATCACAGGACGATCGAGGGTATTGATCAACATTCGTCTGTGGATGCCTCTAGTACACAAGATCCTCTAATCCTTCAGGCACTTCAACAATACAAACACATCTTATTATGGCTTGTCCACTGGAAAACCCAAATTCATTTAATAATCTCTATCTCAGTCTATGATATGGACATCCTGAGGTTCATAAAAAAGAAACTTTCAAATGGTGTCTTTGGTGTCTGTATTAAAGAGATAAAGCTAACATTATTGGTAAAACTACAACTATACTTAATACACATTTGGAATTGCATAACATATTGCGGACGAGTTACAACAATAATATTGTGTGGTTCTTGAAAACAGATAGAGCAGTTTTCAAATGAGTGTCAAAAGTAATCAGGCAATTACTTTGGTCTTGGTTTTACTACGGTTTGAGATTGGCTGAGTGGTCTAATTGGTGAGAAATTGGTTTGGTTTTACCAGACTCAATTGAAACGTGCTCTACAATGCCAAATATTGTTGATGTAAACTACTTACTGGTCCAAGAAGATTGTTTCCTTTCACAAGTGCAGTGGCGCTTGTTTCATTTACAACTTCAGGTTCTCCATCAAGTGCGGTAGTACCCACCTGAATATCATTGACGTACATTTCTAAGTCATCAAAGAGAGAGGTGTTAAAGAGGGAGGTGTTTAAGTCTGTATTTGAGCCCAGTGACCTATCAGGAGGAGGTAACTTAACAGTAAAGTCTACATTGAGCAAAAATTATCCTGAACTGATATTTTTATAACTTGATCAGAAACTGAATATCTGATGTGAATGAGGAGGCTAACAAGCTTTTTATTGGAAAGAATTTTGCTTATCGAAAAAGTTTGGGTTTATACTTTTAAAGGGATGCTGCATGTGAAAATTTCAAGCACTAATACTAGATATACCTTATGGGGACATATTAAATAATTGGTCAGTATAAAACACACACTGCACACTGCAGACCAGGAGTAAACTGCAGAATAAGGGCAACAATGCAGACCAGGTGTAAACTGCAGACTGCAGACTGTAGACTTCTTAAAAAGTCTGTTGTCTGCGGTATGTTTTGCACCCTCAGTCTGCATTTTGTGCCTGGTCTGCAGTCTGCAGTCCGTAATCTGCAGTCTTCAGTTTACACTGACTGATAAAATAATTTGGAAATTTTAACTTTGAACCTACCAGAAATTTCTTGTTCCTCAAAAATGCAGACATGGTTAACAATGTTTCTCCAATAATGTTTCTATGACAGTGCTTCCTCATTTTGATAGTGATTTGATAGTGCGGGCCCAACTCATAGGGATATAAAAATGCCCAGGGGAACTCTCAAACAAAGAGAACGAGGGTGCTCCTCAGAAATTTTGAAAAAAATTCTTAAAAAGTACCAAGATCCTGTTTGATGGTGTGGCTTGAATTTTTTTTTAACCCCTTAGAGGTACCAATTCTAAAACAACACATTATCTTTCGTGATAAAAACTACTGCTATGAAAGAATGACGATTCAATCAATCAAAGGTACCCCAGAAGCTCTCACTGTTCATAAGAGGTACCAAAACTGGTTTTTAATCCCTGAAAGCTACAATGCACACCCCTGTCTTCTTTTATATGGGAGTCTCCCATGGGATAAAAATGGGACTTTTGCAAACAAGCAGTCACATGGTGCAAACGTGGATGTTAAAAGAACACAACAGTTTCAACGAGTCAAACTTTACTTTTTTGCTGTGCATGTCTCAGGCGAATTTCGTACCATGTGACCGTTTGTTTGACAAAGCCAAGAAAGGCTAACTTCCCTATTAAATTTTGCACTCCTAGCTTAGACTACGAATAGCAGTCTCTCTTTCGCTTTGTTCGTCGTGCGTGACACGAAAGAAAACCGCGAGAAAAAAATAATGGCTTGCCATTTGTTCTTCGCGATTTATTTCATGGTCACGCTCGACGGACTAAGCGAAAGACGGACTACTCGTAGTCAACCCCTAGCTCGAAGTCTCGTTAATATTTATCGAAACTCTTTAGTCTCCATTTGCTTGTGGTCTATAAGTCTAATTTTAAGCAGAACTCACCTAATCTATTGAGTCCATGGCTAAAATGTCCTCGGAAGTCCCCAGCAACAAGGACCTGAGCTAACGATCTGCAGTGTTTAGAAGGAGTTCCAACTGCTGCCATACACCTCTCTACAAAGGATTCCACATCATCAACAGCCACGCATTTATACTGGTCAAAACATCTTCCACTCGTATGTAAATGACGGATTTTTCCGGCAAGGCGGCTGCAAAGAAATTTTGTTCTGTTCGACAATCCCGCCATCTTGGAATATTAGCCAGCAAACTACATCACGTGACGCCTCAGGGATGTCACTCAAAGCGTTGCGTGACATCCCATAAAACGTCTGCGAAGGAGACAATATTGTAGTAAACCATTTCCGTTTTTCCGTTGAAAGCTGCAGACAAGTTTAAAACCTCATCTGACATCCTGTTCTTGTAGACCTAAAGTTTCTGTATAACACCTGAGCGATTTTGGTTTATTCATGGGTTTGTAGCGTACTTTGAAGAGAAGATGAAGGGTTAAGAGTTAATCCCGACCGCTCAAGTTATATTTAGACGTGGTAACCAGTTCTCCCGCGGAAAATATTACCACAAGCGTTCGTGGATGATCAAAATGTGCGGCAGGTATTTTTTGAAGGTTGCAGGTTGCAGGTTGAAACGACCTGTTTATCCGAGTTGAAGTCAAATGAACCCCAAGCAACGTAAGCTCATTTTAGACTGCGTAAAAGGCGTTATACAGGAGAGGGGGTGGCAAAGCATGGATGGATCGAGGGGACTTCCTCGCGTTTTTTGCCTCCCTATTCCTGCTCCCTTTAAGCCTGCAAAGCAGGCTAGCTAATTTAGGTTAACCAGAGTACTAAGTAGACTCACTCGAACTTATTTACTGAATTAAAAGTCGATTTTTAAACCTACAACCTGCAACTTGCAAAAAATGCCTGCCCAGAAATGTGTGTAAAGCTTTGACCAAAGCCGTTTGGGTTGTGCATTTGAGTAAAATTCGCGTCACGGGGTCAGCTATGTTTAGAAACTACAGTGATTTCTGAAGCCAGGAGTGGTCTAAAAATAATTTGAGGGAGATAAGCGGAGTGAAGTAGACCTATACGCGGAATTAACTCTCTTTTCCTACATTTACTCCTGGTCGGACATCATCCGCAGTGGGAAAAAATCATGTCCTTGAAAAATTTCCGAGTCGAGAATGGTGCTTAACACACTTTTTTTTGACCAGCAATAGGGCACAAGAATTACGGTACTGCTAATAAAAACCTCAAGAATATCTCAACTTTAGTTTACCATTCCATTTGAAGAGAACAATCAATATAAAGAGGCTTGAAATAAAAAAATAATGTTTCAAACTTTTGTCAATGCAAAGAAAATTATAGCTTCAAATGATAAGATGAGCTGTGTAAAGCAGTATTACTGAGAATCATCAATTTTTCGACAGTTAGCCCTCACCCATTTATTTTTTTAAAGTTCTTTGAAGAAACTGATCATCGTTCGCCGTTTGAGATCTCGATCGAAACTTACGCTGGGAGAATTAGGTATATGGGGAAGATATTTTATCAAAGAAGTTTTAACTAACTTAAGCTTCCTCTGGAGACGGGATAAGACTGGTGGAACAGAAAAATTGGGGATTATTCGTGTGATTTATTCGTGTGATAATGACTGACTATGGTGTTTGTTTTGTACAGAGCCGTTTACAAGGTTCACTGCTGCCGGAGAAAAATGGAAAACTGCTTTTGTAGGCAGACAACGGGAAATATCTAAAATGTCTTTCTGGCAATATCCAGCGCCTTTCCCGATCGCTGGTCAAGGGAGCGCGGACTGTTTGCGCGGATTCTGGGTAGGAGAAGCAAACAAGGAACAGAGCATGCGTAATTTATTTGGACGTAAATGAAAAGTGAATGGTTAACCTAAAATAACGTGTCAGAAGAAAAAAATACAAATTCCGAAGAGAAGGTTAGAACATGAGGGCAAAATATCACATTAATGGCATTTTCAACAAGACAAATGGATTTGAAGCCGAGACTAAAGATGATTTCCAGTCCGTACTGCGCACTTTCAAGAGTTTGTTTATGTTTATTGTTATGTTTCATGAATGACGTCAAATAAATTCAAAGTTTCATGCCAACCGCCATTATGGACGCGAAGCGACGCGAAACTTTGTTTCGTTCCTTCTCGTATCATTTGATGAAACAACTTTGCAGCTGTAAAAATAAATGAAACAGTTGGAAAAGAATTTGAAAGGCCTCAAAGATAAGTTATGTGGTTCGTAACGAATAACATTTCTTCGCATTCTATCGAGTGAGTTTTTTATGCTTTAAACATTAGGGTGCTGAGAGTGCGCAGTACGGATCGGAAATCGTCTTTAAAGCTAAGATTTTAAGAGGCACCTAAATACTTTTATTGTCACATAAAACATAAATAGGGAAACTTTGCTACAGAGTTCAGGTTATGACTAAATAATACGTCTGTGACTTAGAACACACCCCAAGCCTCGTTAACATAAAATTCTACTTTCACGTGTTATATCTTTCCATTTTTGATGTTTAGGAATGGATCTCTTTGGCGATATGGCGGCTATTTTGAATGCAATTATTTTAAATGGCTATTATGGGATGCTCAGAGGGTTGTATTTGCCCCCTTTGCACCCCATAATAGCTATTTGAAACAATTAGAAGTCAAAATGACCGCCGTATCGCCGAAAAGGTCTATGACAAAATACACAAAATATGCACTTCTAAAGCGAGGCTTGGTGGTGACCTCGATCTCAGGAGAGATTCTGCATGGAATCGAGGTTGGCTTGGGGTTCAAATTAGCTGGTCTGACATAAACATGCACAAGGACTATTAATGGTTTGACTTATTTTCTCTTATTCACTAGATGAAGCTGACGTCCTCAATAGCAGTGTGCTTTACCAAATTAGACTGCGCTTGAAGCTAACACTTTAAAAACGGGATTAATTGACGTTTATAGATCTATATATTCATTTGAGACTTTATTTTGTCTATCTATTTATCTATTTATTTCAACTAGATCATTGGATAATGAAATTCAAGATTTTTAATTGGCTAAGCCATCATAGTATATGAGCAATTTTACCATGCTGTACAAATAATATATGGTGAGCGTAAGCGTATTTTTTGGGGCGCCTTTATTTTACTTTAGTTTTCTATATCTTGGGGGCGTTTTTAATCCGACGATTATTGCACTCGCGCTTGTTGGATATGAGATGATTATAGCCAACTCGGAGCTACTCGCATGGTTGGCTATCTATCATCTCTTATAATCCATCAAATATTTTCGTTCGCGCGCGATTGATCTAAACGCGTCACGCGACCGAATATTCCCCAGCTAAAACTGGGGAATATCCGAGGATGTTCCCCGATTTTCAAAACCGCGCGTGTTACGAAAAATATTTGAAGGATCAGTAAACACAATAGCCTCCATTTGGCGCGAAAATATGCTCGAATTTTTGTCCTTTGACATTATCTGTTCCTCAAAGCTCACAGTTTTCCTCGAGGTATGCTCTCGGCAAACTGTTCGCTTCTCGGAACAGATAATGTCCTCGCACAAATATCCGAACATATTTCCGCGCCAAATTGAGACTATTGTTTATATATCCAACGCGCGCTAGGGGAATAATTGTTAAGTACACATATCTCTATTTTATGCTTCTGAGAACTATTATAATACCCTAAGGTTAAAGAGTAAGTCAGAAATAAGTAAGGTCTTCACAGTGTTGGTAAATGTGCCACTCCCAATCTGTCAGCAATATCATCCTACAAACAACATAACCATCGTACATTAATTTAGTAATCACTGTGTATTACTGTAAGAAAGGTGTTCAAGTGGTTGCCGAAAGTAATTAAGTGTTTTAAACCTAACTACCTAAGTGTTTAACTAATTCAGTAAATGTTTGCCTTGGTTTTACGTTTGTTAGTCTCTAGTATCTTTGGTTGAAACATCACTGTTACCACTCATGAAGTGATGTGACCAATCAGAGCAGATAGCTGTGTTTGTAAACAACTAAAGAGCAAAACCAAACAAATTATTAAGCGCGTTTTCCCGCGCTCCACCTTACAAGTTTTCCCGCGCTTGGTACCGGTTACATGTTTTCGCGCGCTTAATCGCTTATGAATACTAACCATGGCCTGCAACAAGTTCACGTGATAACGAATGCCGCCATCTTGACGAACTTTGCGCATGTGTTCTCTCTCGGGATCGCCAGCTACAAGTACTGCAGTCTCACCGTCTGCCTGGAGAACAAAGATGACCGTTAAATGTCACAGATTTAGTTCCACTCCCACCCCACTATCCCCGCTTTTGTTTGTTTGTCTGTTTGTTTGTTAATATTTTGATTTGTTGCTGTAGTACATACCGGCTGTAAATTTCTGTATTGATCCATTAGAGCCTGCATACGGTCCTCAAATCCGTCTGCAAACACATTAGGATTAACAACTACGAAACAGTGCCCCTGAGGAAAAAAAATCAAATAACTACAGCGTTGATTGCCTGATAAGAGCTGTGCTTATGTTGAAGGGGAGGCCTCGTCAGAAGATTTGGATTAAACCCTTATTAGGAGTACAATCTGGGCGAGTCTTAAACGATATCTTACTCATACAAGATACTATTCTAAAACGGACAAACACTTTTATAGTGACGTCAACACTCATGTCCAGTACACTCGACTTGGGTTGGTTCGACTCTTCATCCACCCCGCCCGTCTTACCGGAAGTCAGGTCGTGATATTCAAAACGGAAGTGAATTCGAGTAACCGAAAGTCAACTTTAGAGAGGGCCTGTTGAAAATTTTGACGGATCGTGACGATTCGACACAGCTTCGATGGATACGACGTAGTGGTACGTAGTCAAGTCGAGATAGCTTGAGGCCACAAACACGCCACACACACTGACGATGATACACTGTTCACAGCCTCTCTATTTACGCATGCGAAAGTAAAAGCGAGCGAAGCGAGCGCGAAGCACGCGGGGGTCCAGTTCTCTCGCGATTCTATCCACGCGTTCAACAATCGAGTAAAAATACGAGAAAAAAGACGGCTGTAAGCAGTCTATGGCGATGAAGACGTTGCCAGCGAATGCATTCATCTCTGAAGGAATGTCTGATTGATCTATTGTCGTGGTATGAAGCCTGTATATTAGTATTAGGTTTGTTCTCTTGCAACTGCACAAGATACCTTGATGGTAAAAACCATGGCGTTGCATTCTGAACACGCAAGTTTGCTACAAAAATAACGTAAATTACAACGTTAAAGAGGCGAGGAGGGGCTCAAAGGTTTTCTTTTCGGGTGGGGAGAATTCGCTGAACGACATGAGTGCAGGCGCAGATCGATCAATTCGACTTCAGCCTCCACTCACCTCGCACAGCGGCTTTCTATAACGAAACTTTTTGAACCTCTGCGGAGGAGAGAGGTTTTGAACTTCAGTTTTGCTCAGTTCATATATCATCATAACGAGGAAAGAATTCCTAAACACAAATCATTTTGTTACCAAGTTTGCAATTTTGTGGTCGTCTCCTTGCCAGTCCCTTATGTTGGTTCCAAATGCAGATCCCGACAACACTCCACAGAATACATCGACCATCATGGCTAATCCATAACCCTTGTAACCACCTGACAAATAAAAACTCATCTCTATCAGGAGCCCACCACTGGGAGCGTGCAACTCCCATGCAAAGCCTATGTCACGGCATTTTTACAGACCGGTCTATTTTTAGGCTTCCTTTCCCGCGAAATAGGTCAGTTCCGGTCTACATGAGTGCGCATCGGTAGGGTAAAAAATGGCGGCCTCTCTTTTTAATCTTCCGGTGAAATGATAACGTCAGACAGTTTTAAAAAAATTAGTCCGTGCTTGTAATTGGTCACTGGGGTTCCTGTGGAGGTCTGAATTCGCGGTAAATTCAAACTAAAAATAGATCGGTCTGTGAAAACGCCGTGACAGGAATATGGGGTGGTTGCACGCTCCTAGCTAGTGATAGGCTCCTGTCTCTATCTGTCACGCAACGCTACGGTCACGGAAGAGAGGATCAGGTGTTTGACAGGAATGCTGTGTTACGTGACAGGAAGAGAGGAGCACTGATCTGATAAGCTGAGAGAAACGCGAATAATGACAAGGCGAAAAAACATGTCTTGGTCAGAAGTAATGGAGTGTAGAGGCATTTTTTCCTTCATGGCCAGAAGAAATCATTTTTTGGATTCTTGTTACGTTGAAAAAAATGTACAATCCCGTTTGACATTACACATGTTAAAAGGACTAAGTCACAACCTAAACTACACACATGCTAACATACTTATTTGGGAACTTTATTTATCATTCCTAGATCCTTTTTGCTAAGTTATTTTCGAGACTTCGGGCTTTTGGAGCATTTTTTGTGCTCAGCTAAGTGGATGTACAATATACCTTCCTTCGGAAGTGATTAAGACATTTTATGTAATTACTCCTCATTTATTACTCACCCAATTTTCTGCTCCCCCACGCACGCGTTCACACACGCACGCACGCGCCCACCCACTCACGCACGAGCCTACGCTTACTATTACAGCAAAGAATCGCTTACGATAATTGTATTCAATAGATTACCTGTAAGCTCTTTTCCACCCAACGGCATCAAACCTCCGCCTTGAATAACCTCCTCAGGAACAACAGTTTCCTAACAAAAGAGAGCGTTTATATTTTTTTTCTCAAGTCAATTAACTGCTTCCACTTGCCTCACAGACCTGTTTATATCCAGAAGAGTTGTCTCTGGTAGCAGGGTAGTGCCTCTCTCCCGCGCCACCTATCACCAAGTGTTTTTATAAAAACGTTGTCCTTACTGACCGGGCCAAACATCATTCTCGTCCCCAGTGTTACTCGTTTTAAATGTCGTTACTTGAAACTGAGGCTCTGGAGATGATTATGGCCCATATTTTGACCCATTCGGTTTCGTGCCTTCTCTTCATGCCTCTACTCGTTTTAGGTGAGCCCAGTCTCCTGTTTGGAATTCAACGCGACACTAAAGGCAACGCGAAACCCAACACGACAATACACAAAAGCAGACTTTGTGATTTCTCCCTCCATTGCTATTTATAAAGCATTGTATGAAAAGTTCTCTCGCCCTTGGTAGCTCGATATGAGAGGTAACTCTCCTCTCATAGCCTACTTTCCTAGACATAGTACACGGCAGTTCTTTCAACTCGTCACGCGATCTTTATTTCTGGACGAAGATTGAAGATTGCGTGACGAACTGAAAGCATATCTATGTTGGTTTTTCGTCAGTTACGCAGTACGTGGAGAAACTATAACTGGGCTAACCTCAGGTTATAGTGCAAGGGGTATTGCGTAAAATAAAACACAAATATTCAGCCTGTTCGTAATCCCGTGAAGTTATATCTCATCCAAGAAAAGCCGGATCTCCTAACAATTTGAACCACGACAAGAAGTATTTCGATCGCCACCCCTTAAGACAGCCAAGGATCTGAGAACGAGATCAGCTAACACATTTCCTGACGCGTCATCACGTGATCTCTCACCTGTCCTTTTGAGTTCACGCCCCAGCCTTGTGGCATTTCAGTTTCTTTCCTGCGGCACATTTCTACCTGAGGAGAAAATAAAGTGATAACAATTTGTTTAGTTTCATGTGCACACCGTTCAAAACACAAAGTAAGTAAAAAAACTTTTCAGCGAAGAGAAGTGGTGATCGAAAGTGGTTTTGTTCACAGTAAACAGCCTGATTAACTCTTTATGATTATAATAACACACCTTTCCAAATGCCACTGCTGACGTGGCCATATCCAGTAGAAAGCTGTCCCCTGCCCTCCCTGGAGCGGCTACTGAGAGGGCATTTGTTCCTATGGACGGCTTAAAGACAGAGAATTTAAACACATTGATTCACTTGTACTGTTATGAATGACTCCATAAGACTTGCGGTTTTGTTAATTAACGTCATCATTTTATAACAGACCAGTTTTTGGTAAAATCGTAAATTTTGAAACGACAGAATCTTCTGTAACCGTAGGGTAATTTGGATATGTGTTTTACAGCTGATAGCAGCCTTGCAATAAGAAGCGAGCTCGAGGTTTAGCTAGGTTTCTTTGAGTAATAACTTTGAGTTCTGTCTAGTAAGGAAGTGAGACTGATCAGCATTTAACACCATGTTCCTTGTTGGTCTGCTTCAGGCTCTCGGTTTGGGGAGGCGAGCGAAATGGGAACAAAGTGAGAGCGAGAACGTTGGAAATCTAGTTAAGAAAGCGGGCGAGCCCTTTCTAGCTCCAAACTTCTCGCCTTTTCTCCGCTTGTCCTTTGCTCTGGTTCCACACTACTAACCAAACGCCTGGAACAGGCTAGGTCCTTGTTGATGTTTTGGTCCACCTGACATGAAATGATGCCACCAGGAAGCAAGCAAGGGCAGCTCCTAGCAAGTCACTGAATTACATTTTCCAAACTACCCTGTCGCAATCGCTCTAAACGACTGTAAGAGGAAAGCTTAAACTCGAAGCTCCGGAGTTACCTTAGCGGCTCTGGTTGGCACCACTACTGGAGATGTATTGGTCATACTCATTCCCTAAAAAGCAAGAATAGAAATCCAACAACTCTTACTGATTTTCTTGACATTTTACAACTCTAACACAATATCAGCTCCGACGATTGTTTATACACTAATGGGAACGCATAAAGGGCGGGCCAGTTTGAGCGAGGAGGGGTTAGGACAATAAGAGAGGTGAGTGCCACACCCATGCCTTGTACCAATTACTATGTCTAAAGCGTGTCGCCACGTAACCACTCCTGATTTCGAGAGAAAACCAAAATGTTTTTTTGTGTGTGTTTACTTACTATCATTCCTTGTTGAAGGGCTCGGGCGCTATACCAACCTGCTATGCCAAAATGGGTTGAACCTGGTCGAGGTAAAAAACAAAACAAAATTTGAAAACAACCAGCTAGGCACGTTGAGGCGGCTATAACGTTAAAGAAACCCGATTACTTTTGTGTCAAAAGACAGTTAAAAATGAGCATAAACCCGCTTCAAACGTTGCACTATCGTCGTGTCGAACTCAATTGATGAATTCAGGTTCGACTTTAGCGCGGGCGTAGTTCGACTTTTAATTGAATCAACGTCGGTGAGAGTCGGGTAGCTCGAAAAGCTCAGTCGTGTTACCCGACTTTGGCACGACGATCATTCAAACGTCAAGTTACACTGGAGTCGAGCTCAATACATGTGTACTGACCTGCTTATTTGGTTCATTTTTCATGAATCCGAAAAAAGCTCGTGGTTCTTGAAGAGTAAGAAGGACAGAAGTGAAATACAAGTACGACTGAATTGGCAAATGTCGAGTTTAGTTGAACTGAATCACAACAGGATGGGATGCAACGTTAAACTCAACTGCGCAGCTGCAGTCGCGTTGGAGTGAAAACCGAGAGAGGATGAAGAGTGAAGGCCTTGTTCCCAAGGTAATACCCCCGATTTATTTTTAGAACATTTCCATGTTCCGAAATCCCAGGGGGTCTAGAAAAAGCCTATCCTGTGATACGGATTTTTCTGCCATGGAGAGCCCGACCGGCTCTACAAGCTCTTTCATCCTCCACGAAAACATCCACGCAATGTCTAAAAATAACTCAACTTAATAACTTTTTGAATAATTTTTTTACCCTTCATTTTCTCTTGGTGGAACATAATGCAGTTGCGGTCGATACGACGATAGCGCAACATTTGATCTGACCCTACTGACCTTTACAGGCTACCCAGCCAATCCCATGCTCCTTTGCCTTCTTGATGGCTAAATCCATGCAAAAATTACCCACGACCTATTATGAGATTGACAAGAGTTATCACGAACTGATTAGAATGTAACCCAATGTATGGGCTTGAGTAAAAAAAAGTCACACGAATTAGTTTTGCACACAAACAACGAAAGTAATAGCACAGCCAATCAAAAGGCACTCCAATGGCATAATTAACCAAACAGAATTCATCGAATAACTTTGCAACCGAATCCAAGCGCGGGATAACCACCGACTTTAAGCGCGGGAAAACAACAAACTCCAAGCGCAGGAAAACCACCGACTCCAACCGCAGGAAAACAGAAGACTACAAGCGCGAGAAAACAACCGACTCCTGCAAGCGCGGGAAAACAATCAGTGCCAAGGGCGGGATAGTGCACATGACAAAAATCCCTACTGGCTTGTTTGTCGTGAAAAAGGCAAGTTTGTTTTTATTGGTTAAATCTAGCTCCACAAATATTAGTAAGAACATTGTAGTCCCCAGAGGCCTGGACTCTTCTGCTGGGTCAGCACCGGTTTCGACTTTTGACTATTCTAAAGCGTACGTATTTAAGATAGTTAGCCAATCAGATTTGCGCAGAAGCCGTCTGTGTATCGTATCTATTACGAATACTTGCGAGTTCAAAATCTTGGTTTTTTCCCCGCATTTTAAACTTGTTTCTGGTAACTTCCAGAGGCAAATACCCTTCAACATCCATTTCCTTATCGTTCTGTGTAGTTCAGTTGTGAAAATTTCCATCATTGTACAATAAAAATACGAAGGCAATTTAAGAGTTCTTGTAACTTGCGTGAATATTGTGAAAAAAGAGTTCTCAGATCAGAGTGTGAAGATAACCGAAAAGGTAAAATCACAGAAACAAATGTTCTTTTGTTTAATTATTTTTCGGAAAAGCGAAAAGCAATACACGCAAAACATAGCTCCCGATTTAACTCCCGACCGCAAAAAGTACGTAAGCACGACTTTACTTAAAAATGAAAATCGCTCTAAACGGAAAGTTTTAACTTGAACGAAGGAAAATCTCTCAGAAGGGAGATGACAGTTAGAATTTTAATTCTCAGAGATAGACTTCTGTCAGTAAATGTAAGGCCATTTCACACAAAATATTCTTAATGATAATCATTTCATGTAGACTAAATATTGTTCAAATGTTCTTACCGGACCAAGAAGGTCGTTACCGTTTACCAGCGCTGTCGCGACTGTTTCCTTTTCAATGCTTGGCTCCCCATGAGGTTGCGTGACGCCATTCTTAATGTCACTAATATAGATCTCTTCAAGAAAAAACAAGGCATTGTCACAACACTCTAAATGGCTTAATCAAATGGCTTATCTAGCCAATCAAATCACGTGTCTCCACAGCGCAGACACCTTTTTCTGGTACCAAGTCCCCGCCGGCTAAGAGGAGACGGGGCACGGGACTGATTTGTCGTCGTGCCAAGCCCTCTCGGTTAAGAGTGACAGGTAGTCTTTTGTGGCTTTTACTTCCGATATCTTCTAGAGTTCCGTTCAACCTACGTCTTCTTACGTTCTGAAGGTCATTGGACATTTTTGCAAAAAGTCTTGCAGACCCTATTTTTTTATCTTTTCTTTTAACAGTTTATGAAGTCCGTTGTTCAGGATTGTGTGACGTACGTGTAAACTAATTTACATGTAATGCAAGGGGAAGGGTAAACAAACCGAGGTTCGAACGACACCACGGTGTCCACTGATAGAAAATCGAATGAAACATCAAGGCCTATAAAGACAGTTGTAAAATGCTTATCTCAAGACGGTTTCTCTTTTGGTAAACGCCTTCAAAGCAACAAAAGAACGAACATACTTCAGAATAAATATAACAGTGCTCGTGAAGATTCTGATCGAGTGAAGATGGACTTGAAATCGTGTGTCGAGATCAATCGATTGATGTTTACTGCTTTTAGTCCAACAAGAGTGTTCCAGATGAGCAGGAGGTCTCAGGACAAAGACCCCACAAGATCAGCTACAAGGCTCGACAAAGTAATTGAAAATTTATAATGATTTGGTTGGTGCAGTGAAATTGACCGTTGTAATTCCTGTTGTCAGTAGTCACCTTGCTTTGAAAACTTATCTGGTCTGGAACCCTGCAACATGCAGCCTAAAAGCTTCGCTCTCCATTCTGTGTAAAACTAATACTTCGATATCGAAATGCAATGGGTTTCCTCTGTATCAAATATTGATTGTTTCTCGGACAGAACTGAGATATTTTAAAGTTAACACAGCTCTTACCTAATCTATTGAGTCCGTGGGTATCATGTCCCCTGATCTCAGCCTCTGTGAGCACTTGAGAGAGAGCTGTACAGTGTTGTGGATCAGTTCCTACAGCTTTCATGCATCGCTCTACAAATGACTGCACTTCTTCTACAGCTACACATTTGTACATCTTGACCCTTTTCAAGAGCGTAGCGTTACGCCGATCTTAGATCCAGACAGGCGTAGTGATAGGCTCCTGACACAAGGCCTTCGAGGTATTTGACCTTAGATTTCAACACAAAAAAACGTTAATTTCCAGCTTTGTTTTCTTTCGCGTCACGCGCGACGGACTAAGCGAAAGAGGAACTACTCGTAGTCTGGAGATTTATGGGCTCCTGTGACAATGCTTTCATAAAATTTACGAGTAGAAGCAGGAGCTGGTAGATAGTCTTTGAGGTAATCATGCATCATTATCGCTATTTAAAATTATGAAAGTGTCAGTTAGTGCGTTGTTTTCGAATTCGTACCTTTAAGCCGGGTAAAAAGTAAATTTCAAGCCACGCCCTTTAACAGGATTTTGGTACCTCTTAGAGGACATTTTGAAAATTTCCGACTTGCACCCCCGTCCTTTTTATACGGAACTCCCCCCGGGGCCTAATGAATCTCAGACTAATATTTTCACTAATCAAACGCTGGTGCTCTTACCAAAATATCCACTGGTCGATCTCTAATAAAAAGTGTTTGATCATTACAGGGATGCAGTTAAGTAAGCACTAAGCCAGCTCTTTATAACGAGCAAGGTGGCTTTTCTCACCTTGGCAGCTCCAAACTTATAATCCAAGTCTTTGTTTTAAAGTGAAATTTCAACTGGATTTAAGTTCTCTTTCAGCCGGTGAAACTAGCCGGCAGCCTGCCCTTAGCGACATCCCTGGATCAAATTGGTCCAAATTTCCTGCTAGTGCTTGTGCGAGAAATGTTCAGTGAAGCCCTCCATAACATGTGAACGCCAATTCCAGTCAGAATTTAAATTCTCTTATAAATCCCTTTGTCAAAATCTGTCGAGGTTTGTAGTGATTTGATCGCACGGTCGAAGCTAGAGATCAGCCGGTAGAACAGTCAATGTGTCTCCAGTGCTACGCTTTCCTCGCCTCGTGCCAAGGCTCCGCCGACCAAGAGGGACAGATGGTTCTGGGGACAAGAATGAGGACCAGTTTGGCCTTCGTCTGCTGTCCGTAGCGAATTTCCGGTGCCAAGCTGCATCATGAATTTTTTAAACCTACTGAAAAGCAGGTCAATTTTTAGAACCGTTTTTGCCCTAAACGGGGCGAGCTGTGTGTGAATAACAGCTCGATCGGTGTCATAAGGGTCGACCGTTCATGTGAGGGCGCCCATCTTAAGGTGGTATGGTACCCTCAATATGGACCAAAAAGTTTGTTTAAATATGGTGAAGAAAGATCAATTGTGCGCTATTGCACTCAAGAAGAGAAATTAAATTTCTAGAGTTTTACTCAAAATGGTTGCTATGGAAACCAGCCACAGCCTTTTGAAGTAGTATTTTATAACATTGACGCCAACACTTCCTGCTCTTTTACAAAACAAGAACTGACTGTCAAATAAGCATATCATGTAAGTTTCTGTTTTGTTCTGTGCAATGAACCTAAGTTTTGACAGTTAACTCTTATTTTCAGTGCTTTTTACAGC